CTCAATCCCAATAGGCCAAAATATATGGAAGGAGATATTGTTGATCTTTTGCTACAATTGAAGAAAGAGCAATTAACACCAATTGATCTCACTATGGAGGATATAAAAGGAATTCTCATGGTAATTTCCCTAACTTACCTTACTTTAGACGCGCTGGCGCACACGCTATATATATATATATGTATGTATGTAGAGATGTTAAATGGGCAGGTTGGACCGTACATGAACATGGTCAAAACAGGTCATGATCCAACCCACTCAAAGTTTAATTGAGTCAAGTTAGGTTAGGTCAAGATAAGTCAAATGACCAGTCACAAGTCATAACCCAATATGCTCAACATGACCGAACCTACACTCCATTTTTATGGAAAAATAAAAATTGTATAGCTGCTGTAAAAATAATAGCCAAAAAATATATAAAATTTATATATTTTTTGTATATATATACATTATGTATGTTATATGCAAATTTTATATACTTTTTGGGTTACCAGATGTAAATAGTTTCTGGTGCGAGCTAAAAGTGATAATACCCCTTTTTTTTAATTTTGCTTTTAGAATAAAAATTGAAAGTTAGACTTATTTTTCTTAAGTAATTAGTTTACAATTTTTTTTTCTTTCTCTTTTAGAATGTGTTAGTTGCAGGATCAGACACTAGTGCAGCTGCTACTGTTTGGGCAATGACAGCCTTGATAAAGAATCCAAAAGCCATGGAAAAAGTTCAGTTAGAAATCAGAAAATCAGTTGGGAAGAAAGGCATTGTAAGTGAAGAAGATGTCCAAAACATGCCTTATTTCAAAGCAGTGATAAAAGAAATATTTAGATTGTATCCACCAGCTCCACTTCTAGTTCCAAGAGAATCAATGGAAAAAACCATATTAGAAGGTTATGAAATTCGGCCGGGAACCATAGTTCATGTTAACGCTTGGGCTATAGCAAGGGATCCTGAAATTTGGAAAAATCCAGATGAATTTATACCTGAGAGATTCTTGAATAGTGATATCGATTATAAGGGTCAAGATTTTGAGTTACTTCCATTTGGTGCAGGCAGAAGAGGTTGTCCAGGTATTCAATTGAACCCACATCTTCTTTAGGGAAAGTTAGACATGTTGTCACTCAGCCAAAAAGATATTTACAGCCGTTAATTAATATACATATTTTCAAAAAGCTCAGAATCTTGAATCTATAAAGATTAAATCTTGAATCCGTCTCTGCAGGTATTGCACTTGGGGTTGCATCCATGGAACTTGCTTTGTCAAATCTTCTTTATGCATTTGATTGGGAGTTGCCTAATGGAGTGAAAAAAGAAGACATTGACACAAATGTCAGGCCTGGAATTACCATGCATAAGAAAAACGAACTTTGCCTCATCCCTCAAAATTATCTATAGATTATATTGTGACGTGGATCTCAAACTAGTTCTGTGAGCTCTCAGCTAAAGTTATTGTTTCGGTTCGAAATATGTATGCATATTTAGAATAAATTAAGAAGGTATACATGAATTTGCCTCTCACTACACATAGTCTAAGAGTGTAGTATTTTAACTTTTTTTTAATCTATTATAAGGTTCTCCTGTGTGTTTGGGGAGGTGGGGGGGGGGGGGGGGGGGGGGGGGACCATGCTATTTAATATGAGAAGCACGTTTGTGTAAAAGATTCGCTTCCATGAGGAAAGATCCATAATTCATCAAACCTAGGATTTGCATGAAATTCCGAAAAAGATCGTGAATTATTTTACATTAATTCATATTCCGTTTTCGACTTAAATTTAAAATGCCCCTGCCCTTAAATTAATTTACATTACAATTTTTTGAAAAAAGTAATATTTGGAGTTAAATTAAAAAATGAAATTTGTAATTTAAAATTATGTTTGAACATTCATTTTAATTGAAAAATATTATAGTTTTGTGAGGGAGGAAACAAAAATTTCTGAAAATTTTATAAAAATGGTTTTAAAAAAATTTATTTCAAAATTTTCCAAATTTTTTAAAAATTTCATTGACAAATGATGATAGGCTATAATTACGTATTTTAGTCGATTATTACACTCTAATTTACTGCACTTTAGTTGAGTTTGCGCTTTAATCTCTAGTGTTTTGGACTAACGGTGTGTTTTATTCCTTGTAGGAGTGATTCCGAGCTATATAGATGTTACGAAACGAATCAAGTGATTTGGAGCTTTGAAGTCTGAGTAAAAGCCCAAGAAATTAAGCCGGGATCGTGTCAGGGATCAACTTTGATAGTTAAGAACAAACGAAGACTCGAGTAGGCATATTGCGCACTGTCTTGTAAAATACACATAACTTTTTTTTTCAGAACTACATTTTGGCTTCACAATATATGGTTGGAAAGCTAACTAAAAGGGCTACAATTTTTGGGTTTTACGTGTTTCCAAATTCTAAACTGAACAGGGAGAATACTGGGCCACTAGCGCAATCGCGCTAGTCAAACCTAGGAAACGTGTCCTTTTTCATATTGGAGAAGGTATAATTATTTGGGCCCAACCCTACTTGTTATATATACATGGAAAAAAACGGTATATTTTATGGAAGGAGGACGTTTTTTAGAGTAACTTTTGACGAAGGAAGAGCACAAAGCCGCCGTGGAGGCCGGGTTTCATCTTTTCTTCAACCAAACTTAGTCTTTTTATGTTTCTTTGTATGATTTGTTGTTTTGCTTCCACGTCTATGTGGAGCTAAACTTCACATTCTAGGGTTGTGGTTCTTTCATAACTATTGTTATTTTGATATTGAGTTGGATTACTTAGTTTATCATATTAGTTAATTTATTTAATCCTGCACTTAATTATTTGATTGCTTAATCACCAATTGAATACTATCTACGAATCTTGAATTGAACTCGAAAGTGGAAATTCTAGATTGTATATAGGATTGAGTATAGCAAGTTCTTGAACCTGGGCATTGGGGAACGAATTCGCGGTTAGGATAGACGTATACCATAGCGCATGAGTTGTCCGCGTAGCATGTGAGTTGACCGTGCGGGTCCAGGTATTGATGCCATAGCGCGTGAGTTGTCCTCGTAGCACGTGAGTTGACCGTGCGGATCCAAGTATTGATATGGTAGCACGTGAGTTGACCGTGCGGATCCAAGTATTGATATGGTAGCACGTGAGTTGTTCGTGCTTAGCGCTTGGGCTTTGGGAGCCCCTCCAGAGTCTGTACACACTTTCAGTGAGCGCAGAGTGTTGAGTGTTGAGTTTTGAGTGTTGAGTGATGAGTGATTGAGTGACATCGCTGTGAAGTTGCATCTACTTTTGTTGTTGCTGCATTTATCTGTTAAATTTTTTTGTGGTATTTACTGAGTTATAGAATTTACCTGTTTATTTTTAAATTGTGAAAATAATAATTGGACTATTTTTCTTAGCTCGTCACTACTGCTCAGTTCCTTAGTTATTTCTATTACTACTGAGGTGGTAGTACTCATAGTACACCCTGCACTTTATGTGCAGATCCAGGTGAGTTAGAGCGCGGTGATCGTTGAGTTCAGGCCGACTATCTATGGAGATTGCAAGGTAGCTGCTAGTGTCTGCAGGGCCATGTTACTCCTCTTGTCATTTCTTCTTTTGGAAAGTTAGACAGTTTATATATCTTAGTTTATAGTTTTAGACGCTCATGACTTAGTGACACTCCGATGTTTGGGACTCGTTTCCGTATTTTCTAATTATATTTAGTGTTGATTTAGTTTATGAGAAAATTTTAAATGTTCAAATGTTTTCTTAATTTCTTATAATCAATTTAGTAGTAATATTTTGGAAAATAGGCTTGCCTTGTAACACGATAGGCGCCATCATGACCATGGTTAGATTTTAGGTCGTGACATGGAGAGTGGAGCAACGATGCTCCAATCTCCAGTATATTATATAAGAACTTTCCGCATGTTCGAGTTCTAGCACAATATGCTGGAAGTTCATACACAGGTGCACCGATCTCTAGTATATTATACTGAAATTTTCTGTGTTGCAGCAAAATAATGACTATTTTTCAACGACTTTACAAATGCTGGCTATTTTTGAATAATCAGTCCGAAAACTGGCAAGCCATTGCTATTTTTGCCTATCTAGGATATGGGTGAGAAAAATATCTGGAAGATGCGAAAAGTATAGATAGCTAGAGGACAGAGTTTCATTTTCAAGCTTTAGTTATTTAGGCATGTGATTTTTCTATTTCACCTTCATAACCTATGACTTTCTAGGATGTAGGTAGGTACCACTTTTATCAATTACGTATCTTAATTTGTTTTGGAGATTTTTTGTTGCTACCGGGAGAGAAAAATGAAATAATCGCTCTCATAAATTTTGACTCGAAGCATAAAATTAGGTATAAAATTAATTAAAATTATAATAAATAGTAGATATGAACACATAATTTTAGAAATATAATAAATTTAATGGTAAAAATCCTAAAAGCGAAATTCATCGAATTTAAATTCTTTATCCATATTTAGTTGCGCATTAAAGTTGATTTGAGTGGTAGGTACTGCCATTACTCCACAGCGTTTTGCTCCCACTTCAATTCATATTTTCATTTTTAGGAGTAAATTTTGTGTTTCGTATAAAATGATACAACTAGCAAAAAACATGAAAACTACGATTCCATGAAAGGTTTAGAATTCTTGAATCTAAGAGGTGGATCCAGAATATGAGTTCAATTCAAAATTCTATCGCAACATAGAAAATACCAATTTTGAAGAGATTTATCAATATAAAGATTTAGCACAATATGTATAATTTAATTTCATTTAGCATAATTAGTATAGTTTAATTTGTTGCAGTATAAGTTGTGTGACTTATCTTTTAGAAAACTAGTTTCAATTATTGAACAGTTATATGTAGTTATATTTTACGTGATATGATAATATAAAAGTTTATTTACATATCTTATGTGATTTACAAGCTATTGCACAATAAATAGGTCACTTAGAACGCACCCGAATAGTAGCTGCTGCGGATTTTCCTGAGAATTTTAAAAAAAATTATTTAGACCCACATCGAGTTAAGTTTTCTTTTTGAGTTTCCCACGCGGTATTCGGTACCCGCATTGGAGCCTGACTATATCCGGATTCGCACCACGTAAGACCCAATTCGAGGGAAAGTGCTCCCTACCAAGGGTTTTACCATACCTAAGGCTCGAACCCGATATCTCTGGTTAAGAAAATAACAGCCCCATTTGCTGCACATATCGAATTAAGTTAAATTTCAATCAAAAACAGAAAAGTTTTTACCATAAAAACCATCTATAAAAGATATTTCATATGACTAGACAAGTGGAACAACAAAATGATAATGCTCTTTCTGCTCTTTGTAGCTCTTCCTTTCATTCTTATTTTCCTTCTTTCTAAATCCAAAAATGGTGGAAAAAACACATTGCCACCTGGTCCTATAGGTTTACCATTCATTGGAAATTTGCATCAATATGATACTTTAAACCCTCATATCTATTTTTGGAAACTTTCCAAAAAATATGGGAAAATCTTCTCCTTAAAACTAGCTTCTTCTCAAATGGTTGTAGTTTCTTCATCAACATTAGCAAAAGAAGTATTGAAAAAACAAGATTTAATATTTTGTAGTAGACCATCTATTCTTGGCCAACAAAAATTATCTTACTATGGTCGTGATATTGTTTTTGCACCTTATAATGATTATTGGAGAGAAATGAGAAAAATTTGTGTTCTTCATCTTTTTAGTCTAAAAAAAGTTCTATTATTTAGTCCAATTCGTGAAGATGAAGTTTTCAGAATGATTAAGAAAATATCAAAACAAGCTTCTACTTCACAAATTATTAATTTGAGTCATTTAATGATTTCATTAACTAGTACAATTATTTGTAGAGTTGCTTTTGGTGTTAGGTTTGAAGAAGAAGCACATGAAAGGAAGAGATTTGATTTTCTTTTGGCTGAGGCACAAGATATGATGGCTAGTTTCTTTGTATCTGATTTTTTTCCCTTTTTAAGTTGGATTGATAAATTAAGTGGATTGACATATAGACTTGAGAGAAATTTCAAGGATTTGGATAATTTTTATGAAGAACTCATTGAGCAACATCTCAATCCCAATAGGCCAAAATATATGGAAGGAGATATTGTTGATCTTTTGCTACAATTGAAGAAAGAGCAATTAACACCAATTGATCTCACTATGGAGGATATAAAAGGAATTCTCATGGTAATTTCCCTAACTTACCTTACTTTAGACGCGCTGGCGCACACGCTATATATATATATATGTATGTATGTAGAGATGTTAAATGGGCAGGTTGGACCGTACATGAACATGGTCAAAACAGGTCATGATCCAACCCACTCAAAGTTTAATTGAGTCAAGTTAGGTTAGGTCAAGATAAGTCAAATGACCAGTCACAAGTCATAACCCAATATGCTCAACATGACCGAACCTACACTCCATTTTTATGGAAAAATAAAAATTGTATAGCTGCTGTAAAAATAATAGCCAAAAAATATATAAAATTTATATATTTTTTGTATATATATACATTATGTATGTTATATGCAAATTTTATATACTTTTTGGGTTACCGGATGTAAATAGTTTCTGGTGCGAGCTAAAAGTGATAATACCCCTTTTTTTTTTTGCTTTTAGAATAAAAATTGAAAGTTAGACTTATTTTTCTTAAGTAATTAGTTTACAATTTTTTTTTTTCTCTTTTAGAATGTGTTAGTTGCAGGATCAGACACTAGTGCAGCTGCTACTGTTTGGGCAATGACAGCCTTGATAAAGAATCCAAAAGCCATGGAAAAAGTTCAGTTAGAAATCAGAAAATCAGTTGGGAAGAAAGGCATTGTAAATGAAGAAGATGTCCAAAACATGCCTTATTTCAAAGCAGTGATAAAAGAAATATTTAGATTGTATCCACCGGCTCCACTTCTAGTTCCAAGAGAATCAATGGAAAAAACCATATTAGAAGGTTATGAAATTCGGCCGGGAACCATAGTTCATGTTAACGCTTGGGCTATAGCAAGGGATCCTGAAATTTGGAAAAATCCAGATGAATTTATACCTGAGAGATTCTTGAATAGCGATATCGATTACAAGGGTCAAGATTTTGAGTTACTTCCATTTGGTGCAGGCAGAAGAGGTTGTCCAGGTATTCAACTGAGCCCACAATTTTTTTTAGGGGAAGTTGCACATTTTGCCGCTCAGCCAAAAAAATATTTACAGCCGTTAACTAATATACATATTTTCAAAAAGCTCAGAATCTTGAATATATAAAGATTAAATCTTGAATCCGTCTCTGCAGGTATTGCACTTGGGGTTGCATCCATGGAACTTGCTTTGTCAAATCTTCTTTATGCATTTGATTGGGAGTTACCTTACGGAGTGAAAAAAGAAAACATTGACACAAATGTCAGGCCTGGAATTACCATGCATAAGAAAAACGAACTTTGCCTTATCCCTAAAAATTATCTATAGATTATATTGAGACATGGATCTCAAGCTAGTTCTGTGAGGTTAGCTAAACTTATTATTTTCGACTTGAATTATGGATACATATTCAGAACAGGTTTAAAATGTATACATATAATAGAACGATTCTCATGGTAAATCCACTAATATAAATAATGAATTTGCCTTTCACTATACCTAGTCTAAGAGTGTTGTATTTTAATTTCTTTTATGTATTATAAGTAGGGGTGTACATAGACCGGGTTGGTTCGGATTTTACAATTACCAAACCAAACCAATTGTGCCGGGTTATTAAATTTAAATATCAAACCAAACCAATAAAACTCGGGTTTTTCGCTCTCGGATTTTTTCGGGTTTTCGGGTTACTCGGATTTTTTCTAAAAAAATTTCAATAAAATCTTCATAGAACAAAACATATAAATTATGCTCAAAATATTTCTTTATTCCTAGTAAGAAACAATTATATAAAGTATTTTTCAAGAAAATAATACAAAATGTGAGATGTGTCATGGCATTATACTAAAATATTTAACAACAAAGACAATAAAATTATGTAATATCAATATTGCTAATTAAAAAGCCATAATAAAAATAAACATAATCAAAAAGTACTAAGCCATGCTAAAATAAGTAGACTAATAAGGGAATATTAATTACATGACTAAACGCTAAAGAAAAAAATAAAAATAGGTTGTGCTTTTTTATCTAAATTATTACACAACAAAAAATAAATATTCAATATATTCTCGTTCATAGTATTGAATTGAATGACTTTTGTTAGCATTAATATTAATTTGTCGGTTTCCTTTGTACACCCCTAATTATAAGGTTCTCTTGTGTGTGTGTGTGTGTTTTTTTTTGGG